TGCTGTTACACTTGACATTTACAAAAGGATGCACACGGTGGGTTAGTTGCACAACTACAGGAAATAAATGTTATAAGACCTGGTGGAGCTGCAGATATATTTGTTTGTTTATTTTTGAATTTTGCGCAAAGCTACACGAGGGCTATCTGCGCTAGCCGTCCCTAGTTTAGCAGTGTAAGACTAGAGGTAAGGCAGCTAGTCATCACCACCTACCGCCAACTCTTCAGCTACTCTTTTACCAACGAATAGTGGGATTGACCGTAACATTATAACGCCCTCACGGCTGAAAGAGCGAGCATGTTTGGTGTGACGGGGATTCGAGCCCGCGACCCGCAGATTGCGAGTCGAGTGCCCTAACCACTTGGCCATGCCGGGCCCTATATTTGTTGTAGTAACGGAATGAATGAGACACCTTTCCCTTTAGGGACCAACCAAACTCTTCAACATTCAACGACAGCGGCTGATGCGAATCAGCAACTTTCCATAGCGTGACTTGCAAATTGGCCCTATTCGTGTTGTAGACGGAGAGATTTAAGGTTTGAGCTAATGTTCTTCTTTGTAGTGACCATCACGTATTAGAAGTCATTCATGATTAAAGTACTCTTTGACTCGTATAATAAATAGAATAATTAAGGATCAGTGTTGAAACACGCAATTTATGGCATTTAATTGTTAAATTTTTCTCTTCCGAATCTTTCGGTTTTAAAGTTCTGTTTAGATCATCTTGTCTCTGTTTACTTCCTTTTTATTCTTCCTGGAACTGTTGCAGTGAAAGGTTTATTGTTAACCCTGCACTTGCATATTCACCATGATTTATTTAACACGTGAGATAGGCATATTAATTTAAACTAGAAAGATAGCATAAATAAACACCAAAGGTTATTTAAATTATATGCTCTTGCTTTCTTCGGCCTGGTATATCCCGGTAGTTAGATCTCTCGACTCTTAATCTGCGGGTTGGAGGTTCGAATTCCATCACCGAATATTCTTATCCTTTCAGCATAATAATGTGGCGGTCAATCCCATTTTTCGTTGTTAAAGAGCAGCCCAAGAGAGTTGGTGGTGGTTGGTGTTGACTTTCTGCATTTTCTCTTGTCTGCCTTTTCAAAATTAGGAACAGTTAACCCTCGAGTAGTTTTTCGCGAAATTAAACAAGCACACAAAAAAACGTACTATTTTCCTGGCCTGTTTATGTTATGACTCGACTAGCTGAGTATGTAGAGTCACGTACATTAGATGAAGACAAAATACTTTGAGTTTTTAGAATTCACACAAATGTGCACTGAAATTAAAGCACAGAGAGAAACATTTTAATTCAATTCTCATTCTTTTGTTATACGTTAGGGTGACTTCTGAGGTAATGTTGTGCTGGACTGCCAAGCTATCAGCATTCGCTACAAAAGAAGCGTACTTTAAATATTTTTGAAATACCAGTTTGATATAAACTTTTGTTTTTAGTACACACGGGCTTTCCTCGATGGACTTGCAAAAAAACTTACAGTAAACCCAAAAAATACTTTATATAAAAAGTATTTCAACTTTTGTTATGGTGTATAACATTTTGCATCAGAGTATATAGTAAGCGGTGGAGTTATTTATGTCTGCTAAAGTATCAATACTCAAGACTTCAGATGGCTTTGAATGGTAAAACATGTAGAATTATCTAGATAATTAATTGCAAAAAAAAACATTAAAAAGCAACAAACAGTACAAAATAAAGGTAAAATGAAGTTTGTGTTATAATTGTTTGTTTGTTATGAATTTCACGAAAAGCTACACGAGGGATATCTGCGCTAGCCGTCCCTAATTTAGCAGTGAATGACTAGAGGGAAGACAGCTAGCCATCACCACCCACCGCCAACTCTTGAACTATTTTACCAATAAATAGTGGGATTGACCGTCACTTTATAACGCCCACACGGCTGAAAGGGGCGAGCATGTTTGGTTATACGGGAATTCGAACCCGCGACCCGCAACGCCATAACCACCTGGCCATGCCAGGCTCTTGTGATAATTACCCATGTAAAAATAATAACAAGAGACGGGTAACTGAAAGATTTCTGCACATCAACCAGTTGCCAGAAAATTATGCCACTTTCTTGTTTATAGTTATGAAATGTTCAGATTATCAAATAAATATTCTAGTTAGGGTCTGAAGCTAGTACGATTATTTTCCTAAGGTAAGTACAATGCCTGGCAATTTTTTTCTCAACTATTCGCTTTAGATAGAAAAGCCAAGTGAAGTAGGGTAATATTTTGGATTATTATAAAATTGTCCAAAGGTGCAAGAGTGGCATTCATCGGATTCTCATTAAGCACATCCAAAAGAATAGGAAATAGAAAACAACAACTTGTATCCATGCTATTGAACTATATCTGTTGCCTGGGCTCAGGAATGTCTGCCAATTTAGGGATATCTGTGTGCACAGCAAATGTTTTACAGATATAACTGTTTAATGAGTAGTTTGGCCATGGTAGGTTTAGAAATGTATTTAAAGTCTTGAGCCGATAGTTCAATGGGGAGCTTAACGACAGGAAAATCCCTCACTACGATTTCATGTTTTAAGGTACTGTCTGACTATAGATAATACTTGGGCACAGAGCAAATAATTGGGGTTAGTGATAGTTATCGCTAGTCAAGTGATTATGAACAGCCTTTTTATCACGAAAACACGGCCATAAATAACTCTGTTTAAGAAGAACTGTGAACCATTATTGCGAAAATATATAAGCTAAATTTTACATTTCTTCTGTACTAAGAAAGTTTCCATTCTAGAACTTTCTATTTAAATCTGGCCTTTTCCCCGAAGGTCAAAAGAATAATAATTCTTTTTTAATAACTAAGACATCATGCTGTAAACAATTACTTACCGGGGAGTTCTAATACAACGTTCAGTTTAAAAAAAAAGTGTTTTAATCCTTTCATAATCCTGGTTTGGCCTGGTGTTTGTAGCACTCGACTCGCGATTTGCGAGTCACGAGATCGAGTTCCATTATCGAACATGTTCGCCATTTTAGAAATTGGGGCGTTATAATGTGACTATTAATCCCACTATTGGTTGGTAAAAAGTAGTTCAAGAATGTTGATTAGCTGCCCTCCTTATAGTATATTACTTCAAATTAGGGACGGCTAGCGCAGATAGCTCTCGAGTAGATTTGCGCGAAACTTAAAAAACAAATAAGCAAACATCCTTTCATTGTTATATATTGTAACGTCTGAATGTTTTCAGTGACATTAAATCTTTAGGTAAAACCAAATAGTTAGAATTATCCTTTAAGCCTCATCCTTATCGATTTTTGCCTACGCCAGTAAGAAGAGTTAAGCCAGCAATGAGCACTAGTATGGCGCGTACGTCCTTTAAGGTGGTTTCACAATATTATAAGCCATATGACAATGAAAAACGTTTGACACAACCATACATGATATTTTACTAATACTTAAAGTGTATTTAAGCATGATAGTCTCGTACAACTGCAGCTGTTTTGTCAAAATGAAGTGTAATTAAATGCTGTCATAGACGACTTGATGAGGAGGACATCTTCGCTAACATCTGTACATCTCAAGTGATCATATTTTAAAACAACTTATAGAACTACACTCTGAAGAGTGAGGATAGTGGGATATTACGTGCGCGCAGTTTGTTTGTTTTTGTTTTTTTGTGTGCCCTGTTGACAAGTATTGCGAGTGCTAATTTTTAGTTGTTTCTGTGAAAAGAATAACTACTTTAAAAACGCAAATAACTTAAGTGCAACATGTTTTTAAACATTATTTTGTATTGTAGTAAATATCTAGTAACTGCAAAGTTCGAAAGTCTTAGTTTTCGTAAACTTTTATTTCCATTAACACTTCTAAAAAAATGTTTCTGTGCCTAAAATTTCGATGCTTAAATATACTTGAAATTTAAACATAAACCGCGAAAATTTCGCTTACAAGCTATTCCTCCTCTAAAATCTCGCCTTGGAATGGCCAAGTGGTTAGGGCGCTCCACTCGCAATCTGGGGGACACGCGGGTTCGAATTCCCACCCCACCAAACATGCTCGCCCTTTCAGCCGTGGGAGCGTTATTATATTTTGGTCAATCCCACTATTCGTTGGTAAAAGAGTAGCACAAGAGTGGGCGGTGGGTGATGTTTCTGTGCCTAAAATTTCGATGCTTAAATATACTTGAAATTTAAACATAAACCGCGAAAATTTCGCTTACAAGCTATTCCTCCTCTAAAATCTCGCCTTGGAATGGCCAAGTGGTTAGGGCGCTCCACTCGCAATCTGGGGGACACGCGGGTTCGAATTCCCACCCCACCAAACATGCTCGCCCTTTCAGCCGTGGGAGCGTTATTATATTTATGGTCAATCCCACTATTCGTTGGTAAAAGAGTAGCACAAGAGTGGGCGGTGGGTGATGGTGACTAACTACCTTCCTTCTAGTCTTTCACAGCTAAATTAAGGACGCCTAGCGCAGACAGTCGTCGAGTATCTTTGCGCGAAATTCAAACTAAAACTCTAACCTTATAGAAAATATCCACGCCAGGAAAACTAACTGTACTTCAATGGAACTTTCAACATCTTACTTCGGTGAGATTCAAGAAAGTAATTTGTGAAATAAAACTATTCACTCTCGACGTAAGGGGGGTATAGTAATTTCAAAATGTTTGGCCGTGAACTTATTTAGTGTTAGTTAATTCTCTGGTGGATCAACGATAAGCTTGAAGGCTTATAACACTAAGATTCGATTTCACAAGTGTTGACAGCACAGGTAGCCCAGTTTACAATTTTCTGCTTAAACAAACAGTATCTGCTGGAAGGTTAGGCATTAATCGAACATCTCGACTACAGATATCCCATAATACAATTATTCTAATTCATGACGACAGTTAGTGTTTCATTCCTGAGTAATCGATTTATAAAAATCGTTGAGTTTCAATTCATAAACAAGACAGAATTAATTATTATTATTTTTATTCAAACAGGCCACGTCACAACCGTTATCTGGAATGACTGAGAAAGGATTCGTCAAGGTAAAGCTTCTGCAGATAGAAGTAGCAGATGAACCAGTTAAATGTTCTAGTAGCAGCCTCATTGACCCTCTCTGTGTCGTACATCTGAAGGAAACAGCAGACAATATAGGTGAGACACAAAGCTCTTCTATGCAATATCATGAAGATACAAACGCTAGTTTTAAGCAAGTAAATAAAAAGTATAAGGTAATGCCATGATGTCATTTTACGCTATTAACTTTAAATACACAACAATCGATTTAGAGAGAGAGCGAAAAATAAGAGAGCAAGTCTAAGTAAGATATTGAATAATAAAACATGAATAATTACGGATTTGTGTTGTACCCATTACAGGTAATAACTGAAATAATCACTTATTCAATAATCTTCCAGAAAACCCCATTTACCAAGCGCTCACTTTATCAGTATGAGTGTTTCTCCGTCTTGATGGTATTGTAACGCATTAAATGGAGTGTGTGTGTGATTATTTCCCGTCTAAACAATAGTTGGTAATTAATAAAAGGCCTGAGTAGGCAAAGGAAAAATATTTTCAAGATTTAGAATTCTTTTTTTTCCAGTGTACAGGCTCCCAAGTGGCCCAGCCATAAGTTCGTATACTTGTAACGCTATAAACTGGGTTTCGATACTCGTGGTGGGCATAGCACAGATAGCCCATTGTGTAGCTTTGTGCTTAACTACAAACAAACAAATCCAGTGTACAGTAACATGAATTAGAGTTCGACTACTATCACTCGGTACAAAATATCGTTAACAGCGATGATACCCAACAATGCATTCCAATCTTTATAGGTAGAAACTTTAGTGGTTGCCAAGTTGTTTTAAGTACATAAGTTGTTGTGATCGGAAGTTAATATTTATTACAATGCAAACGAACAATAAGATCCATTAGCTCGATGAAATGACTTACGTTATATTGCATAAAAATATTTTTAGTTTTTGAACAATGTCTGCTAACTGTTCTCCATTTTCAAAATAATGAAACATTATTTTTCTGAGAATAATCTAATAACCTTGTTCTACACATCTGTTTCACAGCTGTTCTTCCTTCCCAGAATAATGAAACATCCCTTCCCGAGGAGAATTACCTAATAACCATACTTTTCACATTAATTCACCGTAAAACACGTAGTTTAAATAATTAAGAATGCCTAATTACTCGCCAGTTCAGATTTCTAGGTTATTAAACAATCGTACGTCAGTTAGTTAGTTGACGTTTCTATCGCGAAACTTGAACAATTCGAGTTCTTAATGTCTTCATGTTATGTCTCTGACTTGGTCGCTTAGCCCATAATTTGCATAAGGTGTCGTTCAGATTAAAAGTGCAAAGTACTAGAATTTTATTTTTGGATATTGAGAAGAACATGGCAAACTGAGCAACTTTAAATAACCTTGTCTTCAAACGTCTGCTCATTTTGATAATTCGTCCATCAGACAGCGCTCGACAGAGAACATTTTTTATAACGAGGCTTCGTTTAAAGAAAGTGAGCTAATACGCTAAGTGTGCCATGTGTACCCTACAGAATGTAACTACAACTGTTTCCTAATAACAAATTATATTTGAATAAAATGTAGGACGTAGAACGGGAATATGACATTTTAGTATCAATAAGTGTAAGAAAACTAGCTTTCGGGTTCGCCAGTTTCTGTGAACGATAGTAAAATTTAATTAGAAATTAAAGAATAATGATAAATAATCGGTGTTAAAATTAAAATACAATAAATAATATTCCGTTATTAATTCTTTCCCTGAAGTTCTCCGATGATACAAGTTTATGTACTTACAACGCTAAAATCCGGGGTTTTATTCCTTGTGGTGGACACAGCAGACAACCCATGGTGGCTTTCCTCTAAATCAAGCAATCTTACCCTAAAAATCTGATTTATAAATGACTTAGATAAAATTGTAATTACAATTCATTTACTTAATCTGATTCACACCATAGCGGTCGTTCATAATGAAAGCCCCCCCCCCCCCACTATTGAGGGGGAATCCTCAATATCCGCGGCTGTAATTAGATCTCAAATCGGTCAAGAGATGGATCTATAAACTAAAAGTTTGTACTCGAAAAAATATGAACCGCTATGCCGCGGCTAATAATAATAGTTCACTGTAGCAATTTGAAGCATATTCACTGATGCGTATTATCAAAACTTAATGTTGGAAACATTCATTAGATGGCGCTTTTAAGAAAATATAATCGGTCATGTTTAAATTAACTAAGTGCTGGAGAATGATCCATGTATATTTTGACTGAAAGCTTGGCTTAATTAATAAGTATCACATCTGATTTTCGTGCGGAATGAATATTTTTTTAAAAATTTATTTAGTGAAATCAAGCGATATGAAAGTTCTCCCATTTACTTTAATCAACAATATGAATAGCGATTTTGTAAAGAGTAATCTATAACGAACAAGTCTTGTCAAAAATTATTGATATTATCCGTAATGTATTTTTTCTAACAAAAGTACAGCCTCAATTATCCATCTTTTGACTTGGCAATTAAATATCAAAACACGATTACCCTGTAAACCTGCTTGTTTTTTTGTTTCGAATATTCGCTCAAAGCTACACAAAGGCTTTCTGCGCTAGCCGTCCCTGATTTTGAACTGACTGACTAAAGGGAAGGCAGCCACTCCATTAGCACCCACCACTAAAACTTGGGTTTATTCTAATCGAATAGTGGAATTTCAATCCCTTTTAAAACGCACCCACGGTCCCAGAGAGCAGAGCCCAATTTTTGCGGCAACGGTACACGAACAATGGACCCTCAGATCCATAGAGCGGTAGGTCAAACACTAGGACACGCCCAGCCCTCCTGTAAGCCTAGTTTTTAAACACATTGTGATGGAAATAAGTGGTTTAAAAAAAAAAGATTAGTTAAGCCTAAATCAAGTTCTGCAATAAGATATGGAAATATGTTTTATTTCATTATTCAGGCTAGTAATTAGTACACTTTAGGGGAGGAGTGTTGTTTTTCTCGTTTATCAACAAGACAATATATATACATTCAAATAGTCGCCATTTAAAAATAGTATGTTGGCCCTTTTGTTATCACCAATAATCTAAATAATCTTTCTGTTCGGCAATAAATAATTCTTTCGATAAGAGATTCCTCGTGAACGAGTAAAATCGACTGACGACTAACAACTAAAATCGGCTTACGACAGAACCTGTAACAACAAAGATAACATGGACAACGCGTAATCCGTTTTTCAAGTTGGAGGAAGAATAAAATAAAAGCTAATCCCAGCGGCCACCAACGAACTACGTAGCTTTTAAAGGTTTGTATAAGCTCTACTTTTTTGATAGATACACTTTTTTCGATTTGTACGACCCCTAAAGGCTTCGACATGTTTGGTGGTGGATAAATCTTCTGTCTCTTTCTTCTATTGACACCATAGTTGTGCCATTTATTTGATAGTATTTGCTGAACCTGTTTATAAAAAAACAAAACACACCAATACCTAGATTTTCTTACCGAGAAGGTAGAGCAGCTGAGCCAATTCTAAGATTTTTTTTTTTATCTAGGTAAAGGCGTCCCTGTGGTACAACTGAAGGAGACAATATATCCGGAATGGAACTCGTGTTTTGACGTACCGCTGGTCCGAGGTAAGTTGCTGTGTTGAAATAATATTATGTTTTTCCATCACAACACCGCTCAGGTTAAACAGTATATCATAGTATTAAATGAGATTAAATTTAATTCATGTGGAGACTTGCAGCGTCCTCATTCTCTACCTGTCTCGCCTGGGAAGAAGAGAGATCAATAGCCTAATGTACGGCTAAATAACCGAAGATAAAAATAGAACATATAATAATTGAATTCCAGAGTTACTGATGAACATTTTCTCTTAGAATATTAAAAAAAAAGAATCATTAGCAGAATTATTAATTCATTACTACAAGGTTTGTAAGTTACATAGAGAGTTATGAAACCATTTCGATTAGTTTAATTTTATTGAAAAATCGAATTTTTTTTCTATTGTACTTTACCTATCACCGAAGTTAGTGTTACTTGAGCATGTTTGGTGTGACGGGGATTCGAACCCGCGACCCACAGACTGCGAGTCGAGCGCCTTAACCACCTGGCCATGCCGGGCTACTTGTATAAGAGGGACTTCTTGTAAGTTTTACATGATCTTTTTTTTAAGGTTAAGTACCTTGGTAAGGAGTTTATTTACTTTAAGTTTTAGTGAAAAACTTCCCATTGGTAACCTTTGTTGTCAATTCTTAATTTTTCCCTGAGAACGGGGCCCAGCATGGCCGGGTGGTTAGGGCGCTTGTCTAGCAATCTGAGGGTCGCGTGTTCGAATCCCCGTTCCACCAAAAATGCTCGTTCTTTCAGCCTTGGGAGCGTTATAATGTTATGATTAGTCCCACTATTCGTTGGTAAAAGAGTAGTCCAAGAGTTGGCGGTGAGTGGTGATGACTAGCTGCCTTCTCTTTAGTCTTACACTTCTAAATTAGGGACGACTAGCGAAGATAGCCCTCAATTCAAAACAAACCCTGAAAACAATTCGAAATCGGCAATTTAATTGTTGAAAAAAGTGATCTTTTTTCAAGTGTTCCCGTTGCTTCCAGTAGCTATTGCAAAGATTTCAACACATCTAAACGTGTTGCAAAATTAGTCTATTTCGTAAAAATTGCCACGAAAAATCTGCTGCGGTTTCTTTGACATATGTTCTGTGAAAGCTGCCGTTGATTTCGAGATAAGGTTGGAAGTTTGTGAGCTTTTAGCTTTTACGAACGTTAAATCCTTGTTTATTATCTTGTTAACGATAACAGAAGATATGCCCAAGGTTCATGGAAATGCTATTTTGAATTGAAGGATTCTTTTTCGTAACCTCCACTTTGTACATGAGAGGGTTGTTCCGGATTGGCTTGGGTGGTTTAAGAGCTTTGATTGGCCCAAATGCTCTATTGCGCGTTTTGTACTTGTAGTGAAAATTAAAGGCTCCCTTCTTACGTAATTTATAAATCTCGCTAACATAAATATCTCTCCTCGGAAAAGGGCGCTAATATAGCCATAGCAGTAATTTGCCGTCAAATATTCGGGAATCATTATTATTAATTATCATAATGATTTACAAATAATAATGCTTGAACCAGTATAACGTGATGTGCAGATGGGAAATAAAATTATTCATCAAATAATGAACTCAGAATTTATCTGTTATTTAGATTGTCTATTTTTTTTAAGTTAGTAATATACATATGTTTTGTTAGTAAAGTCTAGATTATCTGAGATATAAACTTGGAAGATTTTAGCGATAAGGGTCTAGAAGGCAGGAAAACGCGATGTAAAACAATATAAGTATGTGATTATTAAATGATAGTGTTGTACGAGTTATAGGTATCACCACAGGTTAAAACCTTAGGATGGAGAGAGACGTGCGGTTGCTAGGGCAGTTTGAGGAAGCGCTCTAAGCTTCTCCAACACGTTCTAAGGATGAGAGATACGTACGGTTGCTAGGGCGGTTTGAGGAAGCGCTCTAAGCTTCTCTAGCACGTTCTAAGGATGAGAGATACGTACGGTTGCTAGGGCGGTTTGAGGAAGCGCTCTAAGCTTCTCTAGCACGTTCTAAGGATGAGTGATACGTACGGTTGCTAGGTCGGTTTGAGGAAGCGCTCTAAGCTTTTCCAGCACGTTCTAATGTAAGCCAACAAGTTTTCGACTATTCCGTCACAAAATCACAAGCTACCTTGATAACTTTTGACCAACATTTACAGGACGAAATGGAACATTTTTAGCAGTCATGTAGAGGGAAAGAAGCTAGCCAACTCCACCCATAGCAAACCCTTGAACTTGGTTTGAATTTCGCCCAAAGCTATACGAGAGGTAAATCTGCGCTAGCCGTTCCTAATTTAGCAGTGGAAGATTAGAGGGAAGGTAGCAAGTCACCACCACCCACCGCCAACTCTTGGGCTACTCTTTTACCAACTAATAGTTGGCTTGACCGTCACATTATAACGCCCCCACAGCAGAAATGGCGAACATGTTTGGTGGGATGGGGATTCGACCCTCAAATTGCGAGTAAAACGCCCTAACCACCTGGCCATGCCGGGCCAACCCTTGGGTTACTTTTTACCAATGAAAGTGGGATTTATCGTCACATTATACATCCCCACGGCTGAAAGAGCGAACATGTTCGGTAATGGGATTTGAACCCGCGACCACAGTCGAGCGTCCTAACCACCAGGCCACGCCAATCTCCAAGTCTATCGAAATAGATGTAATTTTTAACCAGATCATTTGCTAAAGCTTCCTTTCATGGATATAAGCTGTGATTTGCGTTTTTTCTACGCTTACATGGCAGGTTAATTGAAAGCGTGAAATTAAATTTATGAATATACAAACATGTTATAATACAAAGTCACAAAAATCAACTAGATGTAGTTAAAACACTCAGAGTAAAAGACAAACAAACATATAACATAAATATAGTGATAAAGAACAGTTCAACAGAACGGGCTATTTTCTTCTAGATTATAAGAGTGCTACATTCGGTCCATAAAATAGGTGCCGCCACCAGAGGGACTGGGTGATTCGTTCCCTCCCAATTTTAAAAAGAAATTTAGTATGGACGGTTAGCGCAGATAGCCATCAAGTAGCTTTGTGCGTGTTATGCCAACAAAACTTGTAATGACTATATAAAACATTTTATAATTGTAATTCTTTATAAATTTCATTACTGAAAACAACAACAACAACATGATCTAGTGAACTATCACTTAATAACGACATAAAAGATGACTCTTTTTTTTTTATTGCTAAGCAATACATTTCGTTTCTAACCCTAACAAAATGGCGGTCTTGCACTCAACCCTACCAAATGGATCGAGTTTCGTAACTGTAACGTCACACGAATGTGGTTTGAATCGTTTAGAGAGATGTGACTACGTGTGTATGCGTATAAAATGGGATTGTTACTCAAATCAGGCCTTATTTATAAACATATTAATGTATCTTCATAAACCTACTTTTGATATATAATTTTATATAGAACACTGAGTAATTTATATAAAATTTAATTTCGATGCGTCAAGTATTTCTCTTAGCTTTCTATATATATATATATTATCTTTGTTTTTCGTATAAACTTAAAAACACTACTTATGCCACTGTACAGTCTCAAGGTTCTTCATAAATCTTCAGTATTCGCAAAATAACACGAGTCAAATTTGTAAATTTTTCTTTGCCACATCTGTTACTGAGAAAAGGCTGAACCAGAGTACTTGAATTTGGAGACCTTTACATATTCATTACTGGCTTTGTTTTTTTATGTAGTACTTTGCTACATCAGTAAAGTTGTGAGTTCCTTTTAAAAGTTGTTTTTAGGTACTTTTCATTATCGTGGACGGATCTTCATTTCTTACATGGTGTGTTTTCTACGTAAGCTTATTGATTCTTCAGACTGTTATTACTTAAGAACACGCAATGAATATAACAGCAGTGGTCCTTGTTCGTGAATCATTACTGGAAGCTATGAGTCAAGTTCCAGTGGAAAAATCAACATGTTTTTTTTATCTTTGCTTTTGTGATCAACCTTTACCCATAAAAAAAACATATAAGTAGCGTAATATATTGTACAAAAAATGTCTCAATGTCACACGATTAATTTTTTTTGCATGTAGAAAATACATTCCATAAATATAAAATTCTCCAAAACTACGAATTCGATGGAAGAGATGATTAATTTCTCAAGGTTAACGTGTATGCAATGGTTTTGTTTTTGTTTTTTAGGCTTGTTTACTTGTTACTCTACAAAATATGACTCTGATGGCACGTGAAAATTTCGATTGACTAAGACACACGTTAATAACTCAAATAGATTAACTGGAAGACTTTGGAAACTGAATAAAGCAATCTGTGATGTTAAGAATTATTGACTTGGAACACCAAGTTATAGATTAATTTAAAACTATAGCGATCTAAGCCACTTTATAAGGCTTATTTCATGCGAAATTTGGATTAAGTAGTGCATAAAACTACTCAACTTATCAAAATTAATTGTTTGTAAGTATGCCATCTGCAAGTCGTCTTTCGTGACTTATCAAGCTCTTAAAAACTGATCTGATTACAGTCCTATTCTGAAATCTGAATATTTTAGCTCTAAATTAGAAAGCCTTAATGAAGTGACTCTTTCGATCTATAAATGAGGCAGACTTGAATAAACTGAAACACAGATAGAATAACTTGAAGTGTTAGAATACAAGAAACAGATGTGTGTTTGTTAAAGTCGAAGAATACAGAAAGTTGGTGTGTGTTTGTTAAAGTGTTTGAGTTCTTGTGGTACCGTTTAAAGTAGTTATGAAAACATCTGTATGAAGGGTTTGACTTTCAGTGGTTTAGGTTTTATGAGGAGGGGCCTTGTAACACTTTTAAGAGCGGTGTTGGTCCTGCGGTAGAGCTCTGGATTTCAGAGCTGACGAGACAGGCTCGAATTCATGCAAGTGATAGTCAAACCTTTAGCTTGGTTGTTGGGCAGTAGGGTGCTGCTGACAAGTTGCCTTCCCTCTAGTCTGCTGGTAGGGTGGTGCCGACAGACTGCCTCCCCTCTGGTCTGCTGGTAGGGTGCTGCCGACAGACTGCCTCCTCTCTGGTCTGCTGGGTAGGGTGGTGCCGACAGACTGCCTTCCCTCTGGTCAGCTGGTAGGGTGGTGCCGACAGACTGCCTTCCCTCTGGTCAGCTGGTAGGGTGGGGCCGACAGGGTGCCTTCCCT